CAATCCATTTTCCTTAAAATCTCTGCACTTCCCTGGTGTCCATGACATGATTTTCTCCTGGTTCCTCAAAGTTCCAGATGGTCCTCCTTGGCCTCCTTGCCTTGATCTGCCTCTAGTCCTGCTCTGTAGATGTGGTGGGATCCAAGGTCCTTTCTCTTCCCATTCTATGCACATGCCTAGGCCAGAGGTACCTACAATTTTGGAGTCGCCAATGTGTCAGAGAATTCTATGAACACTATGTTGTGACCCAGAAGGTCTCCACTGGCTAACTGCTGGAAGAATATTCCAGGCTTTTCTTTCTGGTTTGTCTTAGTCTCTGAGTCTGGAAGCTCCAATGACACCTGTCCACCGTGGGTGACCCTGCTGGTATTTGAAGTATGACTGGTACAACTTCCAGCATCATAGCAACAGGGAAGCCACCCCAGTAAGACAAAGTGATAGATGAACAGAAAGGACATTTGTTTGGAAGGGGGCCAACAAAACCAAGAGAAACCTTCAATGAGGTGGACGGACACAATAGATACAGGACTGAAACATACAATCACGAAGCTGCCACAGAACTGAGCAATGTTGTGTTGTTACAATGTGAGGTCCCATGAGTCTGAGCACACTCGACAGCAACTAACAAAGACAACAACAACAACAACAAAACTATGAGCCCTCTCCCTGAAGAACGCAGGCATGGACAGGATCTTCCCGACAGCATTGGGGAGAACACGGCCCACCAGAATCCAGGATCATTAGCCATTTAGTCCTCTCCCTTAGACATTTGTCCTCTCCCACAGTTTCTAGAACACTCTTGCTGTCCATGTCCTTTTCTCTGAGTTCTGCTGGAGAACCTCCATCCACCGGCATCTCCAGCTGAGATGTCCGAGCTAGAGTTCACTGTCTCCCATCCCTCCTTGCTTCTCCTCCTGGGATCCCAGTCTCAGTAGAACCACACCATCGTCTTCCCCACTCCACCACCTTCTTATGTCCCACCTTATCAGCATTCCTGCTTCTCCTGACCACTCCATCCCAACTGAAATTGACTTCATGAAGTTCCTGCTGGACTAGCCCAATACTAATAATACTAATAATAAAACTAGTTGCCACCGAGTCAATCCTGACTCATGGGACTCCATGTCTGTCAGAGTAGAAACTGTCCTCCACAAGAGTTTTCAATGGCTTGTTTGGAAATAGATCACTAGTCCTTTTTTTCTGAGATGCCTCGGAGTGGACTGGAACCTCTGACCTTCTGGTTAGTGGTCATATGCATGAACTGTTTGCACTATTCAGGAACTCCAGGACTAGCCCAATACTTCTTATCAATTCTCCACACGGTAGCCTGGAAGCCTGCAGTGAGTTGGAGGGACCAGGAGATAGCAGTGCTACAGAAGCAGCTGTTTTGGGGGCCGACATATTAACAGCCACAGCAGGAGGTCTTCCAGAGTCGAGCTGGGAGCCATCAGAAGAGAAGAGGGCGTGAAAACCCTGGGGAAGAGGAGATGGGAGGCTAACGTCTTCCTGCAGCAAGGTGGGAAGGCTCTGGGTCAGAGAGCGCCAAAGGACAGACACAGCTGGGGGCCTTTGCAACTAGAGGTTTACCTCATCTTGGGAGCTCTGGTAGCATAGTGGCTAAGACACTTGCCTGCTAACCAGACGGCTGGCGGTTCAAACCCACCAGCCACTCCTCGGAAGGAAGGTTGGGCAATCCTACTTCCGTAGTGATACTGCCTCGGAAACCCAAGGAGGGGTCGCTATGAGTCAGGGCTGACTCGACGGCACATAACAACAACAACAACAACAGGACTAGCAGAAGGAGCTCTGGTGGTGTAGTGGCCAACGCATTTGCTTACTAACCAGAAGGCCAGCAGTTTAAACACACCAGTTGCTCTGGGGGAGGAAGATGAGGCCATCTACTTCAGTAAAGATTTACAGCCTTGGAAATGCAATGGGGGTTGCCATGAGTTGGAATCGACTCAATGGCAGTGGGTTTTTTATTTTTTTTTCAGGGATAACAGAAGATAAGACCTCTTTAAAATGTTAAAGAGAAAGATGTTACTTAGAGGACTAAAGTGCGCCTGACCCAAGCCACAGTATTTTCAACAGTCTCATGAGCATGTGAAAGCTGGACAATGAGTGAGGAAGGCTGAAGAAGAGCTGACGCCTTTGAATTATGGTGCTGGTGAAGAACATGACATATTAGGGCTGCCAGCGGAATGAACAAATCCATGTGGAAGAAGTGCAGCCAGAATGCTCCTTACAAACAAAGATGGCAAGGCTTCATCTCATGCACTTTGGTCATGTGTGTAGAAGGGACAGTCCCTGGAGAAGGACGTCATGCTTGGTAAAGTAGGGGGTCAGCAGCAAAGAGGAAGACCCTCAGTGAGAGGGATGGGCACAGTGGCTGCAACGACAGGCTCAAACACACAAGGATTGAGAGGCTGGTGCAGGACTGGGCAGCGTTTCGTTCTGTTGTGTGTAGGTCTCCATGAGTCAGAACCGACTTGACGGCACCTAACAACCAGGCTAGCCGATGTTGGGTGCGTTTTCACGGGCTACGTAAAGCAGGCTCGAAATGGCTAAAAAATAACGATTGGAAATACCGTGGCTTGGGCCGGGCGCACCTTAGTCCTCCTCTAAGTGACATCTTTCCTTCTGTACACTTTAAGGAAGTCTTACCTTCTGCCAGTCCTAGATGAGATGAACCCTGTATTACAAAGACCCCCAGCTGTGTCTGTCCTTCGGAGCACTCAGACCTAGAGGCAAAAAATCTACTTTTTGGGGCTATTTTTTTAAGACAATTAAAAACTCAACTGCTATTGACCTAATTCTGACTCATATTGATCCTATAGGAAGAGTACAATTGCCCCTTAACATTTCCAAGGCTGTAAATCGAGCCGACTGCCTCGTTTTTCTCCCATAGGGCAGCTCGTGGGCTCAAACCACTGGCCTTCCAGTCAGCGGCTGAATGTGGAAGCTGAATGCCTCGTTTTTCTCCCATAGGGCAGCTCATGGGTTCAAACCACTGACCTTCCAGTTAGCAGCTGAATGCCTTAACCACTACTCCCCCAGACCTCCTTTTCAAGACAATCGGATGTGCTGAGTCCAGGGCTGACTGTCTTATTTGGGCTCAGCTGGCTATGAAGGAGGAAACAATTTGGGGTCAATACACAGATGCCACCCTTGACTCATGTATGTAACTGGCCTTTTGAAAACAGAAACTGGACCGAGCCACTCCCTGCCTCAAACCTTCCATAACTGCCACTGCCCCCCAGAGAAAGCAGCACCTCTGTGGCTTGGCATGAGGACCCTCAGCCCACATCTCCCTGGCTTTCTCTTGCTTTACTTGTTCCCACAGCTGGAACGCAAAACCGTAAGGAGCTCTGGTGGTGTGGTGCCTAAGGCATCTGACTGCTAACCAGAAGGCTGGTGATTCAAACCCAACAGCCATTCCTCTGAAGGAAGACTGGGCAATCTACTTCCTGTAGAGATATCACCTCGAAAACCCAAGGAGGGTGGCTATGAGTTGGATCCAACTCGATGGCAGTGAGTTTTTTTTTTAAATAGCTGCCATGATGGACGTAGACTCAGCCATGCCCCTCAAGACAGCACAGGACTGGAGAACGTTGTGAGCTGTTACACGTAAGACTGTTTGGAGTCGGAGCCAACCCCATGACGACTAACCACCGCCTGCTCTCCAGCCCTCCCACCGGGCAGCATTCAGCCTTCTTCCAACCACCCTGTGGATGGTCGGTCTAGAAAGACATTCCCAGTCGCAGGTGAAATGAACTCCTCCATGCCATGTGCCTAGGCCTCCCACCGTGCTTGTTGTTGTTGTTGTTATGTGCCATCCAGTTGGACCTGACTCATAGCGACCCCTCCTTGGGTTTCCGAGGCAGTATCACTATGGAAGCAGATTGCCCCATCTTCCTTCCGAGGAGTGGCTGGTGGGTTTGAAACTCCAGGCTTCTGGTTAGCAGTCAAGTGCCTTAGGCACTACGCTATGAGAGCTCCTCTCAGTGTGCTTGTTGTTGTTGTTATGTGCCATCGAGTCGGCCCTGACTCATAGCGACCCCTCCTTGTGTTTCTGAGGCAGTATCACTATGGAAGTAGATTGCCCAACCTTCCTTGCGAGGAGTGGCTGGTGGGTTTGAACCGCCAGCCTTCTGGTTAGCACTCAAGTGCTTTAGGCACTATGCCACCAGAGCTCCAGAGTCAACATGTGCTTCAGGCTGGATTCCCCACCACCCCACTGTGATCCTCTCTCCGGCAGGGCCACACCCAAGTCAATTCTGAATTCCCAGTGGGCAGGAGGGAGCCCTGGTAGCGTAGTGCCTAAGGCATTTGACTGCTAACCAGAAGGCTGGCGGTTCAAACCCACCAGCCACTCCACAGAAGGAAGACTGAGCAATCTACTTCCGTAGTGATACTGCCTCAGAAACCCAAGGACGGGTCACTTTCAGTCAGATCCGACTCAACAGTAGTGAGTCTGGTGTGTGTGTTTTTTTTTTTTTGTAGTGGTGAGGACAATGTCTGACAAAGTGTGGGTGCTATGAAAATGCTTTTAAATGAATGTTATCAGAACAAGAAGGAACTGACTGGGGGGAGTGGAACCCCAAAAAGAGATCTTTTGGGAAAGCCATCCCCCTCCCGAATTTAAAACAAGCTTCCACGGGTGATGCCTGGAGCCTGAGAAGTTAGCGGCTGGGATCCGCTTCACCCCACGGGGCAGCGGGGACAGAGCGGGTTACAGCAGGCTCTGCTCTGCACGATAGAGAGATCAGTCCAAAACCGAAACGAAAGGAATTCATTAAAACCTCTCTCTGTACATCTCCACTCCTTAATTACACCTCCTCTATCGCTTCACTTCAGAACCTGGACTCCTGCCTCCAGGGCAGAACGCGACAGGGAATTCAAGCATTAAACATGCCGCTCCGTATCACTGCTTTAATCTAACCAATTTGACTATTCCAGAAACGGAGGCTCTTAACGGGGAAAGAGAATCCGTTACGTACGTTATCTGTCAGCTGCTCGGAATAGTCTCTCTCCTTCCTTTCCACGTCGGCCAGGGTGAGGTACTGAGAGTCGGCGGCACCCAACATTGCTGTGTTGGACAGCTTGGTCTGAAGGTCCTTTTCTAATTCCTCCACATCCTGAAAAAGACAGAGCAACAGTGTAGGCAAATCTGGATGCACACGCGTGTGTGCAAAGCATATGGGAGGAAGTGCGTGCGCGAGGCTAGGTGTCTCCGTGGGCCGATGTGTGCACACGTTAGCTAGTGCTGCAAGCATGTCCACATATACAACAAGCCACACAGCGGGCAGTCAGGGAGGCTTCCTAGACATACCCAACAACTCAGGGGATTGGCGTACTGGGTTAAAGGATTGGGACCACAGGCTCTAGGGACAATTTAGTCACTTGGCGTTAACAGTTCACAAAGCTGATGCTCCACATGCTACTTTGGTGAGTATTGTCTAGGGCCATTGAAGACACAACTATCAGTCTCTACTCATAAGGAGGAAAAGAGAATAGGGGAAATCAAAGGACCTAAGAGCCCACAGAAACCATGGCCTCTTCTAGCCTGAGACCAGAGGAGCTAGGGGGTGCCAGCTACCATTACTGACCACTCTGACCAGGAACACAACAGAAGGTTCCAGACAGCAGAGAAGAAAAATGGAGAGAGGCGGGGCAAGATGGCGGACTAGGCAGAAGAATTGCACAGACCCTCTTCAACAAAGAAAAGGGAAACCAATTAACACAGACACAGAAGATAATCTTGGACCCCTGAGCCTTGAAGGAAAGGA